TTCATGTTTCTTGCACATACAGACAACCTGTGAGGAGTAACAAATTATAAGTCAATCTATCTGGGCATCTTTCTTCCCCATTGATTTTTTTTCCCCGTCTCTCAGCAGGTTAGAAGGATCAAGTGTCATAACAGGGATTTCTTGGGAGGCCTTGACTTCTCCCGTTCCCTCCCCAAGAAGTAGTGCCCATGAAAGAGGACTCTCAGCCCATAGATTCCTTTTATCCAGCTGGTAACCCTGCCCCACCTCCTCATATTTTAAATATCAAGAGATGGAGGAAGCCTGCCCCTGCCTCTGAGCTCTGCCTCCCTCTGCCCTGGACTTCTCTCCCCTTCCTCCCTCGGCACCGAGTCCCCATACTGGCTCCATCTGTTTAGGGTCCACATTTTGCTTTTTCATGGGGAATGTTATGGAAATCTTTAAACTGCTTTTCACTTTCAGAAGTTATTATTCAAGGTTGTTGTCTTTCTAAGTAGGCTGATTAATGGCCCCTTTGTTCTGAACAGTAGCTGACCACTAGACTGTGTACTGGAGTCTACGCTGCCAGACATCAGGACTCATAATTGCAACAGGTGGTGTGAAGATAAGGAGGGCTTATCATTACAGGGTACCGAAGGCGTGCGGGGTAGCACAGGTATTTCATGGGCTCTCATTCCTTACCTCCCAGCTTAGTTCCTACTGTTAACTTATAACACTCCGCTTCATTAGGTATATATCCTGTGTATCCCACTCTCCTGGGTGGATGAGGTCCAGGTTCAGCTTCTCCCAAGAGGACCTACTCATTCATAATCTCTATTGACTCTAGGAATTTCAGGGGTGCACACACTTCTTGAATTTTCTTCGCATATATATTCTCCATGAAAACTTGGTGATAATTTACAGCATATTTAAGAATTACTTTCTCAACACCTTCCACATAGGAGCTGGAGAGTTGCGCTTTCCCGACGATCTGTTGTATAGGCAGGACATATGTGCTTGTCTCAGTACAGAGGTGTTGCTATAACAAAAGACCACGACCTGGATGGTCTATGAAAGACAACAATGACGTCTTGCAATTACAGAGCCTAGGAAGCCTGCATGCTGGGCACCAGCAACACAGTGACTCTGAGAGCCTGCCTCCTGGGTGGCTGTCTTTGTGCTGTAACCTCTCATGGTGGAAGGGGTTAGCCAGCTCTGCGGGGTCTCTCTTACAAGAGCACTAATGCCGTGAATTTTAGAAGGACACAGATGTTTAATATATTATATATGGCATATGGCACAGTAGCTTTTATTGTATTTCTCATTCAGAGTGGGTCCATGCATTTTAAGTATTTGCACTGGTAATCTGGAGTCTGTTTGGTTAATGAAACCTAGGACAGCCCTGGCCGGTGTAGCTCAGCGGCAGAGTATCAGCCTGCAGGTCAAAGAGTCTCAGGGTCGATTCCAGTCAAAGGCACATACCTCATTTTCGGTTCGGTCTCAAGTCCTGGTCGGGGTCATGGGAGAGGCAACCAATCAACGTATCTCTCTCACATCGATGTTTCTCTCTCTCTCTCTCTCTCCCTCCCTTTCTTTCTCTTTCTCTCTCTCTCTCCTACTCTGTTGGAGATAAATGGAAAAATATCCTCAGGTGAGGATTAAAAAATAATAAAAGAAACCTAGCACATAAGTGATAACTTGTTTTCAGAGTGAAAGACTTAAGAGAGGTTAGTAATATATTTGCAGAATCCTTGGTTCCTGTGTGTATGAGTTTTCTCTTGGTGTGTATCAAATTATTAAAAATTTAGTGGCTTACAACAATGCCCAATTATTTGCTCAAAGTTCATGCATGTCCAGCATGTCTTGGCTGGGTTCTTTGCTCAGGGAATCCCAAGGCTGAAATCATGGCTGGCCAGGCTGAGTTCTTGTCTAGATTCTGGGTGGAAATCCACTTCCAAATTTATTCTTGTTGGTGGCATTCAGCTGTTTGTGGTTGTAAGACTGAGGCCTTTCTTCCCTTGCTGGTTGGCAGCTAGGGGTTGCTATAGTCCCTGAGGCCCTGTGTGTCCCTCACCTGTGGGCCCTCTATCCCGAAGCCAGCAGTGCTGTGTCAAATACTCCTGCCTGAAATCTCCATCTTCCGCTCTTTGATCTCTAAGCCAAGATTTGAGAGTATATGTGATTATGTTAGGCTCCCTGTTTGAAAGTCAACTGGGTTCTATAATATACTATATTCATGGGAGTAAAGTCTATCATATTCACAATTCTGGGGATTATGCAGAACATGTTTACCAACAGGGGGTGATTTTTTTTTTTAATTAATTTATTGTTGTTACAGATGTTTCTCCTTTTTCTCCCACTGACACCCTCCTCCCGATGCACCCCCTCCTGCAGCATTGTTGTCTATGTCCATTGGTTACATATACATGCATATAAGTTCTGTGGTCTCTTTCTTCCCTCTCACCCGTCCCCCTCTTCTGAGGTTTGTCAGTCTTTGCCCCACATCCATGTCTCCAGATCTATTCTGTTCATCAGTTTGTATTGTTCATTATATTCCACAAATAAGCGCGATCATATGATATTTGTCTTTCTCTGATCAGCTTATTTTGCTTAGCATAATACTCTCCAGGTCCCTTTTTGTCTTCTCAAATGGTAAGAGATCTTTCTTTCTTATAGCTGCATAGTATTCCATTGTGTATATGTACCACAGGTTTTTTATCCACTCAGCTACTGATGGACACTTGGGTTATTTCCAGATCTTAGCTATTGTAAATAGTGCTGCTATGAACATGGGGGTACATATATTCTTTCTGATTGGTGTTTCAGCCTTCTTAGGATATATTCCTAGGAGTGGGATCACTGGGTCAAATGGCAGGTCAATTTTTAATTTTTTGAGGAAACACCATGTTGTTTTCCATAGTGAGTGCACCAGTCTACATTCAATATGAGGTGATTTAAAATTCACCTTAAAATTCTACCTACTATTGCCTGGCCAGTGTGGCTTAGTGGTTGAGTGTTGACCCATGCACGAAGAGGTTGCAGCTTCTGTTCCTGGTCAGGGCACATGCCCAGGTTGTGGGCCAAATCCCCAATGGGGGGGCATGCAGGAAGCAGCCAATTGATGTTCTCTCTCATCAATGTTTCTCTCTCTCCTTCTCCCTTCCTCTTTGTAAAATCAATAAAGAAACAATATTTAAAATTCTACCTACCAAAACTTTTATCTAAGTAAAAAATTAATTGTAAAAGATTTTTTTTCTTAAGCAGCCTCTTGCATACTGCATTCTAAGCAGTTAGGAGAAGCAAAAGAAGCTCGGGTATCCCCACTTTCCAGAAGCTTGGGTTACGCCACTTTGCTTTTACAAAAGACCCACATTAGTACAGTAACGGTTTATAAAAGCAAAAATCCTCTTTGGATTTCGTTCAGTTAGCAGAAACAGGCACTTTACACCGTTTCGGTTTCCTAGGAACACGACGGCAGGGGAGGGGGAGCCCTGCAAACGGTTTCATCAATATTTTGTTTGAAAGCCAGTATATCTCTTAATGAGGTTAATTAGCTAACATCTGACCTGGAGAGATCTGCTATTACTTATCTTTACATTTTTCACTTGTATGTGACTCCTTGACTTATAAATGGTAACTACCTTTCACCTTGCCCAAACAAAACATTTCTGTATCTATTATGGGGGAGAGGCTTTTATTGTTTATGCAAGGTAAAATAAAACGATGGCATACAATCTATAGACAAACACCATCATTAAAAATAATTGTTAACGTCTTTGTAACATGAAAGCGTTGTTAAAGGTCACCTGATACAGTCAGATGTCTTTCAAAGCCTCTGCGCCCTCTGGATGTAAAGGAGGAAGGTGTGAGCGTGTCCGAGGGAGCCCATCCTCCACACAAGACCACCCTCATTTCTAACACTAATTGCAAGCTTGAGGGGTTTCCAAAATCACCCTCAGGTTTGCCAGTTTGCTTGAATTCCTCACAGAGCTCAGTGAAAGCTGTTCTCCCCACAGTTCAAGTTTATTACAGGAGAAGGATACAGATTAAAATCAGCCGAGAGAAGTGCACGAGGCTGCGTCTGAAGCTCGAGGAATCAACAACAGAGCGCTCGTTGTCCTCTCCTCGTGGAGTCAGGGCATGGTCCTGGACCTGCATGGATATGTGACCGTATGCAGGGAGCGTTGCCAACCAGGGGAGCTCACGTGAGCCTTCGGTGTCCAGAAGTTTGAATGGGGCTTGATCATATACTGCCCATGTGGCTGACCTTTAATCTCTGGCTGATACCCTTTGTCTCCAGTTGCTTCTGGAGGCAAAATTGATGTGCACAGCCCACAGCCCCGAGCCCCCGTCATCAATCACAGTGTCCCACTCTCCCCTGGCCCGAGCTCCAGGCAAACAGAGGCACTCCTCTCAGGCGTGACATTTTGAGGGCCTAGGGATCACCTCCAGTAGCTGAAGGCAAAAGCAAGACCTCTCCTGGGTTAAGGTTAACTCTCCACTACACAGACAGGGAGGGGGCAGGGAAAGACGGATGAGAGCTAAGTGTAGTTCTCATTTACTGAGGGTGTGCTGGGTGTCAGGCTGTGCGCTAAGCCTGTTTCTTACAACCCTTTGGACATTATTAGAAAGATACTATAATTATCTTTATTTTAAAGACAAGATGAGATTTAGAGAGATTAAGTGATCCTTTAAGTAGTATTTGGTGGAAGGACGATTTGGACCTGTGTCAGACTAATTCCAAAGTTCATGATCTCAGACACTTCGCTGTATTCCTTCCACCGAAACCAAGACAATAAGAATATATAATGTAATAAGCACTTAGAAGCAATTATTCTTTGAGAATTGAGTTTTCAGAGTAAAGATGGTATTCAAATGTATAAGAATATGCACTGCTACTTTAACAATGTGGGATGTAGAGGAAGAGTGTTGATATATAGAATGGGTATTTCATTGAATTCATACCTTCCGAATGGATTCCAATCAGCAATGTGTTATTTCATTAATTCAAACACATTTACCGGGTGTGCATTCTATCCCAGGTGCTGTGCTGGCCTCTGGTGACCCAAAGGTGATGACAAATATGTTCCTGCCCACAAGGAGCTAGTGATCTACTGGGGTATGTGAACTGTATTTTATTGTTTTCAATATTATATTTGTTTTAAGCAAAACAGAGAAAACTCAGCATGTAAGAAATATTTTGTGTACAAATTTTGCAAGCTTTGGGACAACTTTTTTTTTACTGGATGAGTTTATGTTAAAGAATTGATAATTTGAAGATTTTTGTTCATATAACGGAATCAAATAATTAAACCCACTTTCTGTCTTCTGGAAATTCTGTGATAATAGGATAGATTTTTTAAAAGTAAGACTACTCTGGGAAAACACACACACACACATACCACACACACACAGCACTAAGATTTGTGTGTATTTCCCATTTACAGTGGGGAATGACCACAAGTGAAGGGAGAAAAATGACAGAACACTTCACCCAGAGCAGCAATGTGCATTTCTTTCACACAGAGCAGCAATGTGCATTTCTTCTTCACATGTGTAACAGTGGCTGTTCTGATTTTTATCAGTTCCTTTAGTGGTAATTGTTACCTTTCATATTCTCCTACTTTATTGAAGTCCTCAACCGAGTCAAGTCAGTGTTGGGATACATAGGACTCCTTGTCTAGTTGATTGTTGGAAAACATATATTTTGAGTACTTTAAGTTATACTTTATAATAGTCTGTACTTAACAATAAACCATGACGATTTCGGGGAGTAGTCCTGAAGAATTAAATATAGTAAATGCAGTAAATGTAAATAAGAAAAATTATATCCTAAAGATACTTTATATATTTTATAGCTTAATATAGAGAAATAAAATTAGAAAATGAAATAGTAAATTTAAGCGAAGGTGATGTCCAGTAGCTCATCCTGATGCTACGCCACCCTAACAACAATATATTTGGACATAGTTAATAAGTATATCAATATGCTCTCTAGATAAACGATTATAACTGCCGAGAGCGCGGTTCTGATCATTTTAAAAATGTGGGCAAAGCAAGAAAGAACATGTCCTTTTTCTTGGCAATATGATTTTAATTTTTAAAAGCATTTAATTTTATAAACTATATCCATCATCTTTGCATAGATAAATGCTGTGGCAATTTCTGAATGAACCTCTTGGTTCCCTAAAAAAATTATGGCTACACTATAAATTTACACATGAAAGGCCATTCATCAGAGTTATAAATATAAGTGGCTGATGCCCATGTAAACTTAAAATGGTTTAATATCTATTGGCTTTTATGCATGGTTAGTTCGGCAAAAGAATATAGATACTGTCAGACGTACATGGTGTGATAACATTGGCACAGCGTTGAGAACGACATGTAATATTTTTCGAATAGCGTAGCATTTCCTTGAATTACTGCTGGCAATGGGACATCAATCAACCTTTATGATGAATATTCCAAAGATGTTTATTAATCTATTCATTTAATCTGAACACTCACTCTTGTCATTTATAGAGCTGGTTCAAAGAAAGCGGAGAGTGCTTGTAAACCCCAGCAGTTACTTTTAGGGCCTTCATAATTATGTCAGCTAAGTCTGGTTGGGATCAAGATCAAAATGCATAAAAATCCTTTCCTCCCAATCCATGGTAAACTATTTGCTTAACCATACAGTATTTTTTTGTGTCTAGTCAAAATCTCAATTTGTTTGCCCATGGATGGCTTTCTATTTGAATCTTCAGTTTTTAAAGTCTGTTCCCCTCCCCCTACCCCTCCCTTTTTCTCCACCTCTTTTGGAATATGATCCTGCATTATGTAAACTTTGACAGAAATGGACTGGGAAAGTGACCAGATTTCTGTGTAACAAATTAAGAGATAGCATATGGCGTAAAATTTTGACTGTATGCAATGAGATTAAAGACAGGTAGGATGGACATAAGTAAAGAGTCAAGAGAGGGGAACTCAGATTAGATTGGAAAGGTCAGAGGAAGCCAGTGTGTAAGCTGAAGGAGTCAGCTATGCAAATGTCGTGGAGTAAGATGCTATGAATGTGTATGAGTGTGTTCCTTTTTTATTAAAATATGGAAAGTCAAGGCAAGGAGCTAGCTTCTGGGTTAAAATAATGTAATCAGGACTCAATTCCTCTCCACCTCTGGCTTCAGTCTCTGGCTTCATTTGGGAGCAAGATGGTGGGCAGTAGCATTGCTTCAACTGTAGCATCCTCTCAGGCTTCAAATCAAACAGGAAGAAGAGAGAATATCTTTCTCAGAGGCCTATTAAAAGTTTCTTTATACTAACTTGCTTTGATTAGATCACAGACTCATGCAAACACACCTCTATTGGAGCAGGGGGTAGAGTCAGCTCTAATTTTTCATGGACTAAAGGTTGAATCGCAGAGGGAGATGGGGTCTAGTGACATGGATGTTGCGTAGCAAAAAACAATGGCTTGCTAGCAGCAAAATCACAATGGGTATATACCTATGAAATTTTGCATATGATTTCAGAAACTTCTAGATTTCCTAGCAGTCCATGGATTCTAGGTGTGGAAACTCTAAAAGTAACATTGAATCAATGCCTTCTGGAACAAGCAAAACACAGCATTGATATTATAGCATCCAAGAAAACAAATTGTTACTGTTTCTTGACTAAAAGAGTCAAAACAAGTATAATCTATAAATAGTTGTTTAAATGATAATATGAAAGTAAGAATGAAAAAGAAGTTTTGTTGTTGTTAGCTGAGGTAGAAAAGTGTGTTTTGGCCTGAAGGTTATTTCTTTACTGTTATTTTGTATAAGAAAAGAGAACTTTATACCAGCAGCATTAGAAGACTTCTACTGGGGAAAAAAGACAGATGTTTCTCGATGATGGTTCAACAGCGTTTATTACTACGGGAGTCTGCATTTCTGTGCATCTTAACCCTTCAGTTTAGTTAGTTCAGCTAAAAAAGTGATATTCACATCTATGAAAGTAATTCGTAAAGGAAGTCGTTTTTTGATAATTAGCTCAAACTACTTGTTGATTTGCTGACTTAAAAAAAATTTGAGCTATAGTTTATTTTGGATCATGTTGGTGAAGTCATTTCTTCAAAATGATTTTTACTTTAGAAATGTAGAGAGAATTGGTAGGAAGTATAGGTCAATCATAGGAACAGATCCTTTAAAAATGCCTACATAGTGATTGCATAGTTTTCATTAACATCGGGGGTAAAGTAACCTTTTAAGGACGTGGAGGTTAGAGTAGCAGCCGCAGGGGTGGCAGTCATAATGTGACGCTTCAGTTTTACATAGATTTCTCAGTTTACCGACGAGTAGAAAGAGTCAGTCTGGGGTTCTGAGTTGCCTCGCTGAGCACAAGAGTTTTTCTTCTTAAGTGAATCAAAATGACACTCAAAAATGGGAAAGAATTCCGTGATTACCAGATAAATTTAAAGACTAAACATGTTAAATGAAGAAAGGTTCACTGTGTCATCTTGTCTCTCTTCAAACAACAAAAACCTCCTGAAGTGAACACTCTTCCTTCCTCTTGAATGCACAAGCTTTCTCACCGAAGTCTTCTATTTATGCCTCAAGTGAGTTGCCATTACTTCTTACGTTCAATGCTCTTAGTTGGGAAAAACTACATTATGTATTTTCTAGCAATTAATGCCACTGGAATTCAGTGAATTTGGAGGATGTTCTGATTTGAAAACATTTCTACAAAAGCCATGGTGAATCTGACTTTCCAGACTAGCATGTTATTTTAAAAAATATTCTCCCGAAAACCTCAGTTCACAGTTCTCACTTCATTTGGGACGTCCGCAGCTCTGTTATTATTCTGTGTGTGTATGGGTTTTGTTTTGCTTTGCTTTCTAGATTACAGCATATCTTTACACGGTGTCAAATATCTTTGCCTAAAAAACACCAGGTAGTTTATTCATTGGGAACTGTTTTACAGTCTGGCCGGTGTCGCTCAGTGGTTGAGCATCGACCCATGAACCAAAAGGTCACCTGTGCAATTCCGGGTCAGGGCTCATGCCCAGGTTGTGGGCCCGATCCCCAGTGGGGGGCATGCAGGAGGCGGCCAATTGATGTCTCTCATCGATGTTTTTATCTCTCTCCTTCTCACTTCCTCTCTCTCTAAAATCAATAAAGGGGAAAAAATTAAAACACAAAACTGTTTTACAGATTCCCCTGCAATACATCTCTCTTTGTTGTTCAGATTCTATTTTAATTTTTACCAAAATAGGGAGTGGCTTCTCTCCATAGTAAGACTAGTCATCAGTAGAGTTTGGGGGAAAAGTAGGGTTTTTAAAGAAAAAACATATATAAGAAAAATGTTATTCTTCCATTTTGGCTAAAAGAAACCAATGGATATTTTAAAGGCTGTGAGGTAAGGCAAGAGGAGAATTTTACTCTTGTAGCCCTTTCTAGAGACAGAAGATAAGAGGGCCAAAATACTGTAAGAGAAATTTAAAATGTGTTTTTCTAATATGATGTCCAATTCAGCTGTGTACATGTGAGTTTCAGATAAGATTACATGCTTTTACAGACATGAACTGTCAAAACATTCCCTATTAATAATTTTAAGGGCTCTTTAGGGAGGAGGAACGGGTTTAATTCAAGACCCCAAAGCATAGATTTCTAAAGACAGTTGCCTTTCTGAGTACAGACGAGCTAGGGAGTGAACAGAGGGAGAAAATCCACGTACATATTTGAGTTTCACTTTTCGACTCTTGATAGCTTTGGTCACTGATTGAGATTTTTCTCCCACTGGGAGGCAAAGACACAAGCAGGTAGTCTACACAATCTGTCCCAGGTTTTCTAAAACCTGCTTACATGTGCAAACATGTCAGACAACCGGCCAAATAGGCCTTAAGGTTTTCTGTTTGTTTGTTTTAAATCCATTCTTTACTGAGAAGAAATAAAAGAAAGCCTGAGGTTGGTGACAGTCTTGGGTTCTTGCCACATTCCCAGCTCACTCTGTGGACGGCTCTCTACTTCAGAGAAAGTTAATATTTTCCAGAGATGTTCCATAGGTGTTTAAATCATACTACAGACACCTGCTCCTTTATATGGACATGTTATCCACCTAGGATGAATCAGAGTGGATTTTTTTTTTAGTGTGGTTCACCCC